GATGAGAATGGTTGTGGGGGTAAGGAGACAAAGGGAAGGATGAGGGGATGATTGGGCCGAGGAGCCGAGGGTGTGGAAATGGAGGAAGAGGGTAGAGGGTGAAAATAATATATTAATAATGTAAAGAATTGTAGAATTGTAGACAGATTATTGTATACAATAAACTCTTAATTACTTTAGACCATTCTGCCGGTACATATTTCCAGGCGACACTCGCTCTGAAAATTTTTACCAAAACAGGCAACAACAGTGTCCTTCCTTGCTGTAACAAAGCAGAAAAGATATTGTCTTCTCCGGGCGATTTGAACGGTTTAAACGTTTGAATCGCCTGGTCGACGGATGTGCAAGTGACAACTTTTCTAGCCACACTCCACTTCGTATTTGAGAACTATCACTATACGAAGAACTAGAAACATTGTTAGAAGCATTTGGGTTTAGCCGTCTTGAGAGACTTGCGGCTAAATCCGAATGTTTCTAGTTCTCGGTCTAGTGTTAGCTCTAGTTTTACACTATCACTAGAACTAACACAAGTCCTAGAACTAGAATCATTCGGGTTTACCGGAAAAGTAAACAGACAAAATTGTCGGTATTGTGCTACCCAAAATCCAAATTAACCAAGAAAGTCGCACACCCAATATCCGCAAAAGATTTGAGGAAACCTTAACTGAAGAGAAATGTTTAAAATTTTTTAAAACGATATCATTCCTTCCATAACGGCTTCATCCCGATAATGTTGACCCACCTCAATTCCAACGGCAGTTATTCCAACAAGTTAGCGTGCCACTACACTTCAAGAAGCTTTACTAAATCAGTTTTTGACACNTCAAAAATTATAAGCGATCGTGAAAATTTTTTCAAGTAAAAGTTATGTGAAATTATACTATCAACCCAACTGAAGAAAAAAAACTTATAAATTTAAAAAAATAGCGAAATTAGTACTCACATCCGGTATAACCGGAAGTACAAAAAGAATGATTTCATGTCGTAATAATCCGTTTTAGCGACCTAATTATGCATTCCAAATGGTTTTCTTATATCACCAATAATAAAGAAAAATATGGGGGTGAGCCACTTTTGAGGGACACCCGGTACATATAAAAATATAAAAAAAAACTTCTTACTTGCTTATATTTTAAATATTTATTGGAACCGGTTTCGACACATAAACGTCATCATCAGCCAAAATCTTTGCAAGCGGAAAATAAAAAAGAAAATTATATCAAAATCTAATTTCGTTATAAAAAGTATATAACTTACGTCATAAATGAAGAAAATTTTCTCCTAACCTTAATATAAAACCTGATCGTATAAATAACTTTTTCAGTTCATACTTCATAAATATGAACCCAAAAATCCCAAAACTTTATTCTTTACCTAAATTGCACAAAATAGACATGCCTATTCGTCCTATTATTGCTTTCAATAATTCACCAACATCTAAACTGGCCAAGTCAGTTTAGAAGAAGAAGTTTATGGTCAACATTTTTCAAATGATTAACTTTAAACCTAAATTTTCCATATCAAATTTCTTGGAATTCATTCAGAACACTAAAAATCTTAATTTAGCAAATAAAATGTTTTTATCCTTTGATGTTACAAACGTATACGCCATTGTACCTATAGATATAACTCTAAAACTAGCAAGTAACCTGTTCGATAGTCATTTCAAAGATAATAATATAATCTCACAATTTAATAATATTTTAAAACACATAGTCACACAAAACTACTGCAGTTTTAACGATAACTTTTATAAGATTAATGAAGGTTTACCAATGGGGAATGGGGATGCCCTGATCTGGGATTTTAGCAGAAATCTACCTGGATTATATCGAAGATAATTTTATAATATCTAATAATAATCCTTACAAAAATAATATCATAAAATGGATAAGATATTATGTAGATGACATCTTTATAATATGGGAAATTAACAATGCAGACTTATGATCTTTTTCATGAGTCCCTTAATAATATTTATAAAAATTTGAAGTTCACGTTGGAATAAGAAATCAATAATAACTAAACTTTTTAGACCTAAAGTTGACTAATGAAGATGATAAATTGATATATTGAGAAAACAAACAACAGTTTCTACAATTATTCCTGACGATTCTGCACATCCTTTTTCCCAAAAAATAGCAAGTTTCCGTTATTTAATTAATAGAGCTTTGGATTACCCATTGTCAAAAGAAAATCGTGTTAAAGAACTCAATTATATCTATTGCTTAGCTAAACAAAATGATTTTTCAAACAATATAATCAACAATGTTTTAAATAAGACAATATTTATATACTAAACCCTTAAAGAACAACATTTGCAAACCTATTACTTTTAATGATACTTCTTAACAAGCCCATAAGATCTTTGCTAAACATGATAACATTGGCTAACATAGTAATAGAAAAACAGTTCTTAACTTGTTATCAAACCATCATTTAAAAAATAATAAAAATAATCTCCAAGATTATGGAGTTTATAAAATCAACTGCAAAGAATGCAATAGTGTATATGTATATTGGGTAAACAGGTCGTAGACTTGATTTAAGACTGCATGAACATAAAACAAAGACGAATTCTAACATATTCAAACTTTATTAACAAATTTTATTTTACTAAAACGTTAGAACAAGTAACAAAAGCAAACGTTAACTTCAGTTGCATAATTAAAAAAAAACAATTACAAATCATACACAGTTAAATTAAATGTTGGATATATCCGCCATTAGCTTCAATGCACGCAGCAATTCTTCGACGCATTGACTGTCTACCACGCAGGAAAATTCCTGGAGTGTAATTAATCTCTTAATTGGTCAACATTTTCAACTAAAGTAGCGTAGACTTGGGTTTTCAGATGGCCGCAAAAGAAGAAATCTAAACAATTATGTTCGGGAGATCGCGGTGGTCAAGCGTGCGGACCTCTTCGACTGATCCAACGGTTTGGGTATTCGTAGTCCAAGTATTGGAGAGCAACTAAACTAAAGTGGGCCGGAGCTCCATCATGCATAAAGTACATGTTTTGTCTTACTTGAAGCGGTACATCTTCCAGCAGTCCCGGCAGTACTTCTTCTAGAAATTTTCGATAGTCTGCACCGTTTAATCTGTTCGGTAAAAATGTAGGCCTATCAAATGATGACCGACGATGGCAGCCAACATTTACGGAAAATTGTTGTTGATGATGGCCTTCTGCAATTTCATGTGGATTTTCTTCTGCCTATATGTGGTTATTGTGAAAATTGAAAATACCATCCTTCGAGAAAGATGCTTTATCGGTAAACAGAAGTTCGGCTCCAAACTCGGGATTTTGAGTTATTTTGTCTTGCAACCATGTACAAAAAGCCAATCTTGGCGGAAAATCTCTTGGCAATAAGGCTTGTACTCTTTGGATATGGTAGGGATACAAAAGTTGCCTTTTCAAAATTCTCCAAACCGTCGGGTGAGATAGGTTTACGTTGTGAGCAATTTTTCTGATACTTGTGGTCGGATTTTCATCAATTTCGTTGAGGACAGCCTCTTCTATTTGGGGATTTGCAATTTCCATAGACCATTATCAGCAGTATTCCTTTTAAAACTTCCATTTTCCCACAGTCGTTGGTGAATACGTAGAAACAAGTTATGGTGTGATACTGGGCGATCAGGATGTCTTTCTTGATACAACCGCCTTGCTTCTGCCGAATTACCGCACGCCATTCCGTAAAGGTAATGCATTTCGCACATTTCAGCGTTTGTGTAATTCATTTTTAGTTTTGTAATACAAGTTTACTTTTTGCAGGTATAAACTAAATGTTATTTTGACAGGAGGTAGCTTTTGTTATAAAATTTAAAAGCAACTTGTTAAAAATAAATTATACAATTTTTTACACAAACGCTGAAATGTGCGAAATGCGTTACCTTTACGGTTTGGAGAATTTTGGAAAGACAACTGTTGTATCATTTTTATTATTTTGCAATTATGAAGTTAATGCTTGCTTTTGTTACTTGTTCTAACGTTTAATTTTGTTTACATACATTTTGTTTAATTGTAAAATAAAATTTTTATTTAAAAAAAATGACCATGTTTTTCAACACAAAAGTTGATTTTTCTAGAAAACGGTCAACTTTAGAGCTCATGACCTACAGTACCTTTTTTGTGTAGAAAACAATGACGGTTCAAATGGGTGTCACTACCTATTCAAAATCTTCACCAACTATGACTTTTAAAAAAAATTTTCCCGCACTAAATTTAGCTTATTATGAGCAGAAATTGCTTACAAACGCTGTTTTCAGTACGATAACCGAAATATAGTTTCGGAAATATTCGCAAAAAGCGATTTTTTTTATTAAATTGCAACACCCTGTATCTAGAAAATGGATATACCTATATTCCACATTATATTCCGAATTTGAAGTAAAATTTGCCCGATTTTCAGTGAAACTACTGTGTATTTTAAGCAGATCTATAATAATTATTTTGATTTGCCAAGAATAGTGGAATGCATTAATCAAAAGGGTTACTTGAATTATTTTTGAAAACATGAAATTCTTTGTGATTCTATTTTCCGCATTTTCGGTACACCCCGCTAAAGATTTTGCCAAGAAAATATAAATCGGGATTGACGGGGTGTTATATTTTCGGATGCAAAAATAGAGTCAAGAAAAAAACTTCGCAAAATCCTTTTGTCAAAAGAAGTGAAAAAAAAAAATTAAGAAATGGTGCGTCAACGCAATGGCCGTAAATGAGTTAAAATATTGAGACGTTCTATGATATTAAATATTCAACATTTCATCTTAAATGAGATTTTACATTGAATTGTAACTAAATTCTTTAACTTTACGAAAATATAGAGAAAACGCAATTGTATTAAGAATTAAGATTCAACGTTTTGAAAGAAAGTGAGTTTAAGCGCGAAGACAATAAAATTCAAAAATTGCAGAAATGTATTTCAAAACTAAGAAACTAATTTTTTAAGTTAAATTATTTTATTTTTAATGAATATTGAGAATTAGTACGCCCCTCTACTCTCCGATTCTTCGGCCGTACTCGGCAAAGCGACCTTGTGAAGGCTTTTTTTCTGTCTCTTTTCCATGGTGAACACACCAAAAATGATACTGACGTCGATTCGTTTGATATTGTCGGCACCTCGTTTTGTGACCTTGATTTAAAATCCGCCATCTTATCGAGGGTACCAAAGGCGCGTATTAAAATGAAAAAGTTATTGGATAATTTACCACCAATAGCAGCAATACCTTGGTGCCTCTCCATAATGTGGCGTCAGTTTTGGCGAAATACTCCTAGTGACACTTCTGGTTATTCTGTGGTTAACTTATGTTGTTCCGATAGTACATATATATGACCGGCGTGTTTATTTTAACTCATTGTAAAAAATGTCGCTTCGAACCAACGTTCTTAACATAGTGAGCATAACATGCCATGCAATAAGGCCAAATGTAAGTTTTAATTTCATACTTGTTTAATTTTTTAATTTACTTTTATATTATTTTCAGCCAATCTTAGAGGTGGTTGATCCTGCCACCATATTTTCAATCATCCTCGGAGGATACATAGTCTGCTATAATGATAAGTTTTATGTGTGTTATAAGTTATTGAATTTTTATGTCACTTTTAATATATGTTGTAAAATTTATGTTTGATTTTAAATTTTTTTTCATCCTATTTAACCCCAATACTAAAAATTGTTTATGAGGTGAGCATACGATGGAATGTAAAGCGTATTGCTATGTATCCTAGGCCTTGAGGTCTTATATACAGGTGTCCCGTATCTTCCGCATCAGAGTATTATACGGTTGTAGGATACATTATTCTGAAGCGATCTTTCTAATAAAATTTTTCCGAAATGTTTATAACAACCGCACGGGAACTGTTTAAACTCGACCAATAGCAGATCGTAAATCAGACACAGGACGCGCCGTTCATAATACGTTTCTCACGTGTACTCACCAATAGATTGGACACGGAAAGAGAAATATAGACATCTTTAAACAGTTCCCGTACGGTTATTATAAACATTTCGAAAAAAATTTATTAGCAAAATCGCTTCAGAATAATGTATCGTACAACCGTATAATGATCTCTGATGCGGAAGATACGGGACAACCTGTAGAATCTAGAGTTCGTATGCTGTTGTCCCCACCACGCCTAAAATGAAGCCCGAAAGGTCGCCATGTCAGATGTTCGAAATTCCTATATATACTTATGCAAGAATTTACATATATTATAAACTGGAAAAACAGAAAATAATATCCAAAACAAAACACATTAATTTCTTATTGATAAATAATTATTAATTATATAATAGTTTAAAAGAACTTAATAATTTTTAGCAATAACTCTTATAATTAACATAAACTAAGAAGAAAATATTTAAAACAATTCTGATTGATCTCGTTTACCTTTGGCTTATAAATAATTGGTAGTTTATTTTAAAAGAACTGAACATTCCTTAATAATAAATGGGATGAAATTCTTCATATTTGTCTAATATGTATAATAAAATATGATGTAGGTAAAAGTAAAAACTTTTTGAGAAATACTAAAATGTTTAATTCAATTCAAGCAGACATGTTTCGAAACTAATATTTCATCTTCAGTACTTAGAATATTATACAATATAATGGAAAAATATTTTGTTAGTAGGTGGGGTTTAGGAATGGATCTAAATTTCTTTCAACTTAATTTACAAACAAAAAATTAATTTAACAAAATCAAAAAATTTCAATAATATAGTTTAAATCTTGGAAGGTAACAAGATATGTTACCTTCCAAGATAACCCACCTACTAACAAAATATTTTTCCATTATATTGTATAATATTCTAAGTACTGAAGATGAAACATTAGTTTCGAAACATGTCTGCTTGAATTGCATTAAACATTTTAGTATTTCTCAAAAAGTTTTTACTTTTACCTATTTCCCTATTTCCTTAATAATAAACTTTACTTGAACTTCAATTGTTGATTTCAAGTGAAGTAACCAGAAACATTTTATGGACTGTTGTAAATAAGCTTCCAACTTACCAAATTATAAAAATATATGTGAAACAAAAAGAATTCGAAGACCTTCAACAAAAATAAAATTTTAATAAAAATAACAATATATTTATGAGAATTGTGAGGTTATTTATTATTTCTTCTACTGGTAGGGTTTTGGAGTTCGAAGGTTGTGAGGTTATTTTTTTTTCTACTGGTAGGGTTTTAGAGTTCGAACTTCCGTTCATATCATTCTCTAGTCACAAGGTGAATTATTCTCCATTAGTTCCACTTCCCATTACACGACATCTTCCTTCTTCAGCTCCATCGAACTTTCCCGTGGTTTGACATTTTATAAATATATGAAACACACGCAATAACAAATCTTACATATACAGTATGTCCCCGGATGGAGTTACAAAGAGGAAAAAAATTTGTATTACCGATTTTTCAAACTTATTTCAGCATAAATAATGCGTCGGATATGTTCAAACCACTAAATCGCACGAATTTTATAATTTAACTATAGAAGTTAACTAATTATTCCCATTTTTATGTAAAAATTTTCTAAATTGAAAGTGTTTCAAGTTCAATTTATGATATGTATCCATAAAAGTTACCACTTATGTAAGTGAAAAATATACGGACAAATCAAATTAAAATATGGCTAAATAATTGAATAAAATATTTTAAATTTAAATTTATGTAATAACACACTATGTACGTTTGCAAGTGAACAAATCAACTATTCATTCAAACAAATCACCTCCCAATTCGGCACACATTTGAAGACGAGTTTTAAATTCTTTGTAAGAATTACAAAATTCCACCAGTGGCAGAGATTCTATCGCATTAATTATTCTTAGTTTTAACAGTTCTGCATCGTCTTGTAATGGTTCACTGTAAACAATTTGTTTCAATCGTCCCCAACTATGAAAAATGCAATGAAAAAATCCATAATTGTATGATCAAGACTACGTGGTGGCCATAGAATAGGACCATTTCAATACGTTCTTATAATGTACATATTAATCCTGCTAATGAAGATACTTCATAAAATATTCCTTTATCCAATAAATATTTGTTGAGGGTTTTCGTTGTCACCAATTTTCGTTGGCAATTAAACAACTTTTTCCTTAACTGATTTATTTTATTTTTAACGAAATTTGGCATAATACGGTGACTTAACCATTCGACGATATCAATACACAGGAAAAAATCGTGTCGTGTAAAAATTTTAGAGTAGTTGGTAAAAAGAATTAGAGTAAAAATTGTAATACCACATGGTAAAAACAATTCTAATGTACACTATATTTAATATTAATATAGAGTTCATATATTATTCACTTAATATAACTATAATAATATAGTTTTAAAAAACTAAAAAAATATGGAATAATCTGACCATCCTAATTTTCTAAAAATCACAAGTTTCACCTTTTTCTTTAAACTTATAATAGTAAAACATAAGTTGCGATTTAAAGTGTATTTTATTTTGTATAAACTAAGTAATAAATTAATAAATAAACTAAACTAACAAATAAGACAATAACTATTCGATCAGTATTACTATATCAGTACAATAATTTATTCTAAGGTAAACTATAACTAAATAAACTAAATTATGTAAATAAACTAATATCATGGAATAATATGGTTACATCACTTTCCTCATTTATAAACATATATGCACATTTGTGCATTTATTTCAGTAGCTTCTTCAACTTGTACGGATTTTTTTCGTAAGTCATTAAATAATATCCAATTGGCATTGTTGGGCACAAATGCTGGGTACTGTCCTACATCCTTCAAAGATTGAGTACCTTCGTAACTGATGATACCTGCGGGGATATAGAATTTGTTGTGGAGTAACAAATTGCGTGCGTAATCACTCAATTTTGTTTTATTGTTCTCTCCATTCGTTGTTTCTATAAACAGACCACATTTTTTTGCAATTGTTGCTTAGGGTTTGCATGTAGTTTTCTATTACTTGGTTTAGCTATGCATAGCCTAATATTGTTACGATGTCAATGTCGATTGGTAAAATTATGTTTTTATGGAAAGTAACGTTTAAACCATTATTGCAGTTTTTAGTGCTACAATAACTAAATTCTTCTTTAAATCGTTGTGTGCAAAGAAACGTAATATTTGACACAACATTCACTATTATCAGGCCAGCAATATTCTGGTTTCCAAAATAATTTATGCCTGTTAATAGTTCAGCTCTTTTTTTATATGTTGCTTTACTAGAACCGGTTTTTAAAAATAATTTTAGGAAACTAAAGCAATCTGTGCAAACATTCTCAACATGATTTCTAAATGAATTGTGTGTACGGGCAAAT